AGGTGAGAGACATTTAATTGACAACTGAAAGGGGAGATTGTCAATTGACTGGACATTGCAAAGAACGAAACTTTATGTGAGATTGCGAACTGTGAAATACAAAACAAACAAACATGCAAGAGAGACACAAAATCTGAAAGACTTTAATTGTGACACCCAAAGCAAAAGAAAGACTCAGAATAAGATTGCAGACGCATGGTCTTGATGACCCAATGGATAACAGAAAGCAATGAGATGTGTTATCAGAAGAACAGAAGATTGAAGAAAGAACTACAGAAGAACTGTATTAAAATATAACTTGGAGAATATGTATATGATTTACATACAAACACATAAATAAACATTGTTATTTTGGACCACACTGATCTAGAAGTCATATTTGATATAGAGAGGAACAGATCCTCTGGTGGCAGCAAAAAGGGTTGAAAACTATATGTCATGCCCGAAAGGAAATCAACCCTGAGTGCTCACTGGAAGGACAGATCCTGAAGCTGAGGCTCCAGTACTTTGGCCATCTAATGAGAAGAAAAGACTCCCTGGAAAAGACCCTGATGTTGGGAAAGTGTGATGGCAAGAGGAGAAGGGGACGACCGAGGATGAGATGGCTGGACAGTGTCTGCGAAGCAACCAACATGAACCTGACACAACTCCGGGAGGCAGTAGAAGACAGGAGGGCCTGGCGTGCTCTGGTCCATGGGGTCACGAAGAGTCGGACACGACTAAACGACTAAACACACACATGCCCGAAAGGGAACCTGGGTTTGTAGAGAAACGGGGGAACTGGGTGTGTGTGTGACAAACGGTAATCTGATGTTGGGTTCCATGGTATGTCACCTGGGAGGAAAAGAATCACACCCATCTCTCACCTGTAAAATGCAACGCGAAACAGGCCATAATGAGATCGGGCTTACTGGCTGAAAGAGTAACGTTTTCCTACAGGTGATCTAGCTGGACATCTTGAGATGAACTGGTAGAATCTTGGAACAGAAAGGAAGAGAAGCCTCGAAAGATAGTTTATTCAGTACGAAATCCTTAAACTCCACTTTTGCTCCCCTTTCCATCATTTTCTCCCTTTTACTTCATGCACTTTGATTTTTGAGCCATGTTGTTCTCTGCTCTAACTACCGGGTGTTTCTGTCACTTATTCGGTCAACTCTTATACATGTAAGGTAGCATGGAGTTTGTCTATTGTTTCCTTGGGATCTTCTCAAATCTTACTTCCCTGGAAGGCAGGTGATATGGAGGGAATTTTCCCCATCCCTCAGCTATTCAACGTTTCATATGTGCTCCACTGTCACCCAAAACCTTTCCACAAATCACAGACTTCTAAAATTACTCCCGTGTGGATTTTTTTGATGTATCCTTAAGTTTCTGCTCAGACTGAAGCTGTTCCCACATTCTGTCCATTTCAAAAGTTCCCACTTTGTATGAGATCTTGGATGAACAGAAAGATGAGTACTTTTATTAAAGATGTCCTCCATTCCGTGTATTTCTATGGCCTTTGCCCTGTTTGACATCTTTGATATCTACAGGTCAGAACATCATTAGGATACCTGACTTCACAGGAATCCTACAGAAATTTATAGACCCCCCATGCAAGGAAGAGACTCTATAATTTGTGAAAATTATATGATTGCACAAAAAGGGTCACTCCTACAATGAAACCACACTGAGGGGGTTCAGTATTCTCAGACATCTAGATATGTGCAGCTTCTAGATGTTGGCTTCGGGGTCCTGCCAAAAGCCCTCTCTGAAGGGTTGGTCCCTCTCCCCTTTTCTCTCTTCAGCTAGCATGCATCTCTTCTCCCTGATCTTTCTCCCCCACTCTCTCACCTCTTTCTCTCACCAAGAGGAGGGTTTCTCTGGTATTCTCTCCAGCTCCTTTCTGCCTCTTCATGAGGTATCATCAAGTTCTCCCACTGTGTGGTCCAGGAGTTCTCCATTCATATCCACTCCCAGCCTTGTGGTAATATCCTCTCCTTCCTTTGCCCTTCTACCTCTCCAGCCTCTGCAGTCTCCTTTCTTGATTGTTCTCCAAGATATATTTCTCTTCCCTCCTCCTGCCTTATTCCTTTCCTTTTCTCCTGCACCTCTGCTGGTACCCTAATATTCCTTTACTTAGTTGATCCTTTCCTCTGATGGACCTTCTGCTTCCCTCACTAGAACTTCCACCTTAGACAACCCAGGCTCTTTATTTCCAGACTCTCCAATCCCTTCGTTGGTCTCAGACTTTGATTCTTCACCCGGAACTATCTCCATCCTCCTGGTTTTCTCTCTAACCCTTCTCATTTCTCTCTCTTTCCATTCTCCCCATGAAGGTGTCACTTCTCGAACAGTTCACATGTTCTGTCTCTGGGGCTCCATGGGCTTCTCCTGCCTCTTCTCAGGAAAGGACAGCAATCCAGTCAGGATGGGTTCAGCCTGGCTTTCTCCGTCAGATAGACAGCCAGTGACAAGTTGTTTGAAGCTCATGTGGGTATCTCATATGAAGTCTTTTCATTGTTGCAGTGATTCCAGGCAATTCCAAAACTTGTTAATTCTGTACAAGTTCATTTATTTACATCATTTCTTGCATCCATACTTAAATATACTCAAAAAATATATGGAAGGCAGTCTTACAGGCGTAAGGAAAAAAACTGTTGGTACAAATCTTCAAATCCAAATGTCATACAGTTATGCAAAAATTGCAGGATTACTTAAAATATATCCTAGCACCTTATAAAAAGATGTAGGGATTTAAATTAAGATAATAGGGAAAATTTAAGGCATGTTTGAATCTAAAATACAAACACAGAGAACACTTCAATTTTCCTAAGAATATAATGATAAAAAGCAAAAACCCTTATTAATTTCAATGAAAGACATGCAAAAGTATTTAAACTTTAAAAATAAATATATACAAAGTGAAAACACTATAGTGGTGCCCCGGATAGCGAGGTTAATCCGTTCCGGATTAACCGTCGCTATGGGGAAACATCGCTATCCGGGACCTAAAAACCCATTGGAACGCATTAAACTTCGTTTAATGCATTCCAATGTGGCCCAAACTCACCGGTAAGTGAAGTTTCTCCATAGCGCCCACATTTTCGCCCCCTCGGTAAGCGAGGGCAGGGCGTGAAAATGCAGCGCACAGCCATTTTGGGCATCCAGCGGCCATTTTGGAACCACCAACCAGCTGTTTAAAAAAAAAGCCAATCATTGCAAAGCGATTTTCGGCCATTGGAAACATCAGTATGCAATCGCATTAGCGATCGAAAAATCCGCTTCGCTAAGCGGATTCATCGTTAAAGGGTGCGCTCGGTATGCGAGGCACCACTGTATTTGGTTCTAAGTGTATTGGTAACAAACAGAATTTTTTTCTCACCCAGCCATGTGTAAAATCCATTGCTGGCTGTCACTTGTTCACGGTTATTTTACCACTCTGCTAAGGACTTTCACCCGGCATCAGTTCCATTGTCTGTTCTACTTCATGAAACCAAACATTTATAGTTCTCTGTTACCTTCTAATAACATTTTGTGTGAGATGTCTCCCAATATTTATATCCCTTTGTTCTGCATCAGTCAGAAAAACCAAATCTTCCCAAGGCTTGGGTTTCCTAGCCTCTGAGAAGCTCAGACATTAAGGATCAAAGGATTTCATCATCTCCGACCCAGTGCAGTCCAGGGCCTGAAGAGAGCAGATCTTGAAAATCCAAAAACCAGCAATCCCTGTAATTACAAAGCAGCATACTCTCAATACAATAGCATAGAAATGGCTAGTTCTTCATAAATGACACATAATATATATTCATTGGTACTCTTTTTAAAACTCAATTCCTATTATTTGAGTAAAGCCTTATAAAACAAATGACAGCATTTCTCTCTTCATGACTTGCTTTTATCTCATCAGTTAGCCTTAGAAGATCTTTACAACATTCCACATCTGTTTCATGGTATCTCTCTTTTAATTAACAATAGAAAATACATTACAAGTGGTGCTTCAAAATGGACTTCATTTTTTCTCTTTTCTCTCTGTTTTGCATTATGTCAGCATTGGTTGTTTCTTCTTTTCAGGGGAAAACAGCACGAAACTGAATGGGCTCCTTCTGTGTTTTCTCCCGTGTGTGTTCTTTCATGATTTCTAAGGTTTCCACTGCGACTAAAGGTCTTTCCACATTCTATACATTTATACGGTTTCTCCCCAGTGTGAATTCTTTGATGTGACCCAAGGTTACCACTGCAACTGAAACTTTTTCCACATTCCATGCATTTATAAGGTTTTTCCCCACTGTGTGTTCTTTCATGTTTTCTAAGGTCACCACTGTGACTAAAGCTCTTTCCACATTCCATGCATTTATGTGGTTTCTCCCCAGTGTGAGTTCTTTGATGTAAGCTAAGTACACCACTGCGACTAAAGCTCTTTCCACATTCCATGCATTTATATGGTTTCTCCCCAGTGTGAATTCTTTCATGTGATCTAAGGTTACCACTGTGAATGAAGCTCTTTCCACATTCCATGCATTTATGTGGTTTCTCCCCAGTGTGAGTTCTTTGATGTAAGCTAAGTACACCACTGCGACTAAAGCTCTTTCCACATTCCATGCATTTATATGGTTTCTCCCCAGTGTGAATTCTTTCATGTGATCTAAGGTTACCACTGTGAATGAAGCTCTTTCCACATTCCATGCATTTATGTGGTTTCTCCCCAGTGTGAGTTCTTTGATGTAAGCTAAGTACACCACTGCGACTAAAGCTCTTTCCACATTCCATGCATTTATATGGTTTCTCCCCAGTGTGAATTCTTTCATGTGATCTAAGGTTACCACTGTGAATGAAGCTCTTTCCACATTCCATGCATTTATGTGGTTTCTCCCCAGTGTGAGTTCTTTGATGTAAGCTAAGTACACCACTGCGACTAAAGCTCTTTCCACATTCCATGCATTTATATGGTTTCTCCCCAGTGTGAATTCTTTCATGTGATCTAAGGTTACCACTGTGAATGAAGCTCTTTCCACATTCCATGCATTTATGTGGTTTCTCCCCAGTGTGAGTTCTTTGATGTAAGCTAAGTACACCACTGCGACTAAAGCTCTTTCCACATTCCATGCATTTATATGGTTTCTCCCCAGTGTGAATTCTTTCATGTGATCTAAGGTTACCACTGTGAATGAAGCTCTTTCCACATTCCATGCATTTATGTGGTTTCTCCCCAGTGTGAGTTCTTTGATGTAAGCTAAGTACACCACTGCGACTAAAGCTCTTTCCACATTCCATGCATTTATATGGTTTCTCCCCAGTGTGAATTCTTTCATGTGATCTAAGGTTACCACTGTGAATGAAGCTCTTTCCACATTCCATGCATTTATGTGGTTTCTCCCCAGTGTGAGTTCTTTGATGTAAGCTAAGTACACCACTGCGACTAAAGCTCTTTCCACATTCCATGCATTTATATGGTTTCTCCCCAGTGTGAATTCTTTCATGTGATCTAAGGTTACCACTGTGAATGAAGCTCTTTCCACATTCCATGCATTTATGTGGTTTCTCCCCAGTGTGAGTTCTTTGATGTAAGCTAAGTACACCACTGCGACTAAAGCTCTTTCCACATTCCATGCATTTATATGGTTTCTCCCCAGTGTGAATTCTTTCATGTGATCTAAGGTTACCACTGTGAATGAAGCTCTTTCCACAGTCCATGCATTTATGTGGTTTCTCTCCATTGTGAGTTCTTTTGTGTATATGGAGGCTCTTGTTCTGATTAAAGCTCTTTCCAAGTTCCATATATGAATACAGGTTGTCCGCTGTGTGTATTCTTTTATGTCTACTGAGGTGACATGCATTTATATGGTTTCTCCCCTTCGTCAGTCCTTTCATGGGAAGTCCATGCCTGTCCATTCCGATTTTCAATTCTCTGTTTTCTTGCTTGATTTTGAGTTCCTGCCCAGGTTACCCCAGATGTTGCTGGGCAAGTCCTCTTCTCCTGTTCATCATCTGGTAGATTAGAAAAAGAAGAGAAACAAACACTTCGAAAATCTGCAGCAATAAAGACTGATGTGTTCAGACTCCAACTGAGTTAAGGAGGAGGAAAGAAAGACAGTCAAAAAAGGTGAGGGAAGAGAATCATCAGGAATTTCTGAAAACAGGATAGAAAGCAAACCTGGTCAAAGAAACAGGTACTGAGGTAATAGAATCTTAGAACTGCAGAGCTAGAAGGGAAGTGAACTCCCAACCTCTGGCTCCAGAGTTAGATATATTAACCAATATGTATGAAAAAGGAGGGGGGAAGAATTTGATAAACCATATCTGTGAGAATAAAAGGAAAAATGTATGAAATTGAGAAGGTATCTGATCCCAGTGAAATTAAATATTTCAAATTATAAATGCTGCATATTATAGTATATCAATTTATGAAATCAATGTATCCTCTAGGATGTTACATCATGCAAAAAATAATAAACTTGAAAGCAGATTGTCATTGCGACGGTGGCAAGAGGGATGGGCTTCACTTTAATGAACACAGAAATGAACTGCTGGCACATAACATTAGAATCATGACAGAGCAGCTATCCCAAGGGGAAGCTGACAGGAGCCAAGCAGCGTTCATTTCAGGACTCCTCGTCCCTAATGAATGAGGGTGGAGAAGGTAGAGAACAACAAAGTGATGATAGTGTAGTAATTAGGACTGAGAGTGTGGTGGGATGGGATTGTTTATCCAATGGAAGGAGAAGCAGTCCTTCTTGGGGGACAGCATAGGCAGATGTTTTTAGGCAATTGCCCAAAGCGTCTGAGCGAAGATGGGAGAGCTGGAACATTTGGAGGGTAAATATAGATTGATATGGTGGCCATAATGGAAACCTGGTGGGATTCGGAGAACCAGTGGGATGCCACAATCCCAGAATATAAACTCTACAGGAGTGATAGGGAAGGGCATGTTGGAGATGGGGTGGCCCTCTAGGTCAAAGAATGGGTAGAATCCAGCAGAATGGAGATGGACGGCGGGTCTGACACCATCATAGAATAATTGTGGGTTAAACTGCCAGGCCCATGGAGCAATGTGATCTTCGGGGGGAGGGTGCTATCATCCTCCAAATCAAGAAGTTGAGGGGGGAAAGTCTGAAATGCGGAGGGAGATCAGGGAGGTGTCCAAAAGGGACAGGATTGTAATCATGGGAAATTTTAATTTTCCTCACATTGACTGAGTCAATGTGTGTTACTTGACATGCTAAATGACTGTGCCTTGGAGCAATTTCTTATGGAGCTCACCTCAGGAGAGGTGACTCTGGGTTTAATACAGTGGTGCCTTGCATAGCGACGATAATCGGTGCAGCAAAAATCGCTGCAAAGCAATTTCATCGCTATGTGATATTAAAAAGCCCATAGGAATGCATTGAAACCCCTTCAATATGTTCCTATGGGCTTCAGACTCACCTTTAAGCAAAAA